ATGCCGAAGAGCTAGGAGGCTAATATTTTTACCATATAGTTAGGGCACTAAGAGCTTCAATCGCTGAAACTTTCAGCTTGATCGGAGAAGGTCACTGTATGAGTGAGAGATTCCTGGTGGAACTACCCATATGCCAATCCAGATGAAAATGATGGTGTTACCATTGAAATATAAATACGAAGTATTCAATTGACTATTTCAATTGTATGTATCAATGGAAAAAAAGATATTAACAATGGTAAATATAACTGACGAAAGTCTTTTTCAAAGATTTGTTTCCAATGAAGAATAAATTCAATAATAATTAGAATAACATATAATGGACAAATAAATATTGACCAAATTAGAGTTATATAAAAGTATTGAGAATTAGAATAAATTGAAATAATCATTGATAAACTATAAACGATAAGAACGGAAATATTTTGTTCAAAACCGAAATGAATTTCATTTGAGTTTTGAGAAGATTTTCGAAGAATACGACGATGTAATAGATCGAATAAATATCGAAAAATAATAAAACCAATTAAACATGGTAAACTAAAAAGAAATATGGCTAATGTCGAATTACCATAACATGAAACAGGTTGAATTCTTGATACAATACATGCTAAAATCAATGAAAATACAAGACCAACAATCATTGATAGAATATTAGAAATCGAATATATAATGATAGAAAGAATACGAATAGTCAGTGGATTTTTAAATCGAAAATAAATACAATGAAAATCATTACATGAGAAATTTTGTTGTCGATGATATATATGATCGAATATAATTCGAATTATACCAATAATAATAATAATGAATACAATTAAAATCTTCTGAATTAATACTGATGTTGATAGTTTATATATCATCAAATATCGACTAAGAATATCAAAATAAATTAAAGGATCTGCATCGCTAATATTGTTTATTTGTTGGTTATTTTCAAGAAGTATATTACGAATTAATATAGCAAGAGTATCACCAAGATCTTGAATAATACCTTGTTTACATGTTGATATGTGATCTAATGATGTATGATATGTGTAACCATCAGGAAGAAAACCAAAATCGTATCCGAATCGAGAATTGTTCAATATGAAAACATCATAATCACTACTGAATGGAATCCATTTTGGAATTTTCTGTAGGATTACATTCGTACGTGGTCTTGCCACTCGACTATAATCAATGATAAGCTACAAAAACAATTCATACAACATTAATCAGACTGGAAAGAAAATACCTGTGATGATGTTGTTTGTAATAGATCAGCTACGTCATTGCAACTGATTGAATCAATGCTAAAAAAATGACGAATATTAAAACGCCAACGATGATCAGTAATAAATGCCAGTGCACCTTGTAGTTCTGACTCTTCGGCATTTGTAAATAGTATAATCAAATGAACATTAGAAAAATTTATTGTTAAATCATTAATTAAATTTGATAAAAGTTCAAATATAATAACAAGACCCGAACCATCATCACCAGCTCCAGGACTAAATTCCACTATTAAAACACACAGAAAAAGAGTTTTACATTAAATGATTACATTGCTAAACATACGTACCTGAATCGTAATGAGCACTTAACATCAGACTCGGTATATTTTGAGATTTATTAATTGAATTTGACACACGAACAAGAATATTTTGTAATTGATTGTGTTGAGAATCAGTAAAATTTTGAAGATCAAGTTCACATTGAATATGTCTTTTATTTGGTGAACAAATACGTTTTATTTGTAAAATAAGATAATCCCGTGCATCAAAATTTCCACGTGTATTACTTACTCTTGATCCGTATTGAGTTAAATTAATTAAATAATCAAGAGCACGTTCTTCACTAAATACATGACGTGCACTTGTACGTGTTTTTACTGTTGGTACAGAATAGGATAGATGATGTGTAAATGGACCCGCAAGAAGTAAAAGACAAATTAATAAAAGAAACCATAGAATAAATTCTTTGAGATGTTGATTATTATGGGATTGCCGATGAATATGATTCGTATTCGAAACTTGGGGTATGAAAACAGTTTCTTCACCTATTCCATTCATTGATAATTGTTATTTATTATGTGTACGAAATATTTTTTTTGCTATGTGAAGAAAAAGATAAGAAGTAACAAAAAAAATTCGGAAGAACAGTAAGAAAAAGTATAAAGTATGAGATATAATTTTATATTCGATATGATACGACATTGTTTTTGAGTATTACGTATGAGATAACGTGGGATGAAGTTATTATCCCCTGGAATTTTCATCTGTTTTTTTCAAAGAAATATAATCAAGAGACGTGATCTGTCTTTCAGGCTCGCTTTATTTCTTTGATATTTTTTCTATAGAAGATGATAACAATAATAAAAATACACTAATATTTGTTGTATTGGCTGTCAATGCCCTTTTTATTTCCGAGATTCTCCCCCTTCTTTATAGTTGCGTTTTTATAAGGAACCAAAAACTAAAATTATCCGTTGTGAGTTCAGCGACTAAGTTATCGTTACATTTTCTTCTTGTGGAATGATTTATGTCTTTATTAAAATCAGATAGATGCTTGCAATTGTATGGCTTATTTCTCACTTTTAAATACAATATTAATAGCACATGATCAATATGTAAGAATTGAAGTAATATTCTTTTTAGTTATTTTATCCTAATAAAAATCAATGCTTGAACAACAATTTAATATATGACACAATAAAAATAGTGTGGGTGGGTTTGGGTGTAATGTTTGTCCATCTATACTCGCACACCCACACCCACACTTTCATGAACGAGTAAAAGATATCATTTATATATACACATTAGTCATGATAATTCACCGTAAGAGATATATAATAGAATCTCGTCAACAAAAAAATTCGCTGAAAAATGTTTTCGCGGAACGGACACCATATCTCGAAATTGCATCGAGAATGAGTAAAATGTGTTTTTTTCATTGCTTCTACTGCGCAAAACTCTTGATGTTTTTTTTCATTCTGGATTATGTGCAGTAGAGCACGTTGTTGTTTACACTTTTTCTTACCTACCACCATACACAGTATTGAAAATAAAAAGTATTTCACAGGCTTCCATCTACGTGCATCGCCACTATTTTATTTTTTGGACATTTTCACCAAGGAAGATTGAAGTAATGAGTTCATCTTTAGAACTTTTGCGTGAGAAAGGCAGTACACTGCCGGCTAATGAGATGGATACATGTCTAAATGATATTATGCACGATTTGATAGTAATGAAAGGTGCAACCGATCAGCAAGCATTCGTTGAGTTGGTGATGACTATTCTTCGAGTGCTCACATCAGTTGAGCCTACGGCCTATAACTGTAATCACCCACTGATCGTCAATGGTTTGCGCAATATTTTTCTGGATTTGCTTAAGCAAGATATCAACGAAACTATCGAGCTTGCACTTACAGAGTTCAGTCTCTTCTTTCAGCAACGTCTTGCACCAACCTTAACAACAAAGAACAACACCACACAAATGCTGATTGATGGACTGGTAATGTTTTTCGCCAAAAAAGTTGTCGCCATGGGTTTCGGTTTGTATGAATTTATTGGGAAACCATCTATCATCGAAAATCCACTCTATCATTCACTGGATACTCTTTTGCGTACTTTGGAGACGCGCAAAAACGAAGAGACTACCATCACATGGATTGACATACTCATTGATTGCGTGTGTTCTTCTACATTTAAACATGTTTTTCGCTCTTTAAAGTCCAAAGAAGGTAATCTTACAACGGATGAGGAACTATTACTAGTTGGCTGCATGAAGCAGGTTTATGGGTATAATAATACTGATATACCGCCGACTTTTATAATGCAAAAAATTGCTTCTTGTAAGCTGTTCGAGTATGCACAGCTCTTATCTGAATTTGTTCCACCAAGAAAACCAGCACACGTGAAAGTGTTGAACTATTTTGTCAACATGCTTCAGTTTTTGGCGATCGAAAATAATGTACGACACGAATTTGTTAACGATCACAAGCTGATGATAGATTCACTTCTCTCTATTCTATACAATGATTCTTTATGGAACAAAATAAGTGACATAGATACTGAAGAACTATTCGACAATGCGAGCAGCTATTTGTTCCTACTCTCCCTCGAAACTGACCTCCTACCACTTATAAAAGCAAAGCCGAATATTACCACATGTATGTTAAAGCTAACGAAAGCATGTAGTGACACGACACAACTCAATGCCTACCGCACACTAGCATTAATTATGACCGAAGATGAACTCAAACAGCTCAAGGAATCTGATAAAATTACAGCAGTATTCTTAAGATACTTGGTTTGCGCGATTGATTCAATCAAACAACGTCGTCGTCTCGAAAACCTTTTACTTTGTTTGAAAAGTAAGTATTTAGTAGCATTTGTCTGTCATATGCAACAGGTTGATTTATATACTTTCTAAAGGTCTAGCCCAGCACGAGCAGATTAGGGACGAGTTTGCCAAGGCCACAAGTGGCCTATCGCTATTGATCCGTTGTGCTACTGAGCCAAAGTTCGATTCGACTGTGGTGAAGCAGCGCGCGCTAGAGCTTCTCCTCGTACTGACCTTCAATAAACAAGTCGCGAACATGGTTCGAAGCAATGCCGAACTCATAACGCACCTTAAAATGCTATCGGATTCTCAAGAAGTAGCTCTGCAGCGTGTTGCCGAAAGCATTTTGTGGAAATTGGCCAATGAGCGTCAGATGATCATAGATACGCATGAAAAAACACAGCAGAAGGAAAGTAATGAAAAGCAATCGGTGGAAAACAGCAACTCGACAATTCCCTCAACAACTAATCAATTTGAATACGACATTATGATAGTGAGTCTATACATTCTTATGATAAGATAGACGAAGACGACGGAGTATATAGATGACGTCTCTAAATCAAAATAGATAGAGCTGATAGATTTACAAAATATTTTTCTGAACAAAGATTAGCGAAACACATACATAAGGTTAATAAGCCAGCAAGTAACACTCGTCCTTTCAGTCGCTTAGCATTTTTTCGCCGAAATGATATTTCTCCCCATTCATTGAAAAAAAAACAATTAAAAACTTGATTTTCTTTGGTTTTCATTAACTACGATTGTTCTTGAATCAAAGATTTCTTTTAAAAACGAATGTGACATGTTGGTCGAAGTTTAATATACGTCCGTTCTTTGACAGTAGGTCAAAACTTCTACTATTACAAGAAATCACTCGTACAGCTGTAGTAGATAGATTTTTTTAAAGACTGCATAAAAGCAGATGCAATTTCGAATTTAGCTGTTAAAAAAATGTAAGTATAGAAAACTGCTGATGGATTAGATCTATAAGCTTGTGAACACAACCCAGAAGCGAATAAAGTGATATTCATTTGATGAGGAACATGAGCATATTCATATACAGAAATGCTCATGGTAACTCAACTTCGCTTACTGTAAATTGTATTGAAGAAGGCATGGCTTCAGAATCAGGTTTTATAGGTTTCGTCAGCGGTATTTTTTGTTCTAGAGCTATTGTCATCAGGATAAAGAACTGGTTTATCAAATACAAGAGCGACTTCAAAAAGACAACTTTCGTGTTTGGTTTGATCGTGATAATATGTACGGTTCTCCGACGCGATGTATGGCCCATGCCATTGAGAACAGTGAGGTAACTTGCAAAAAGAGCTATCTCGCCTACATTAATTAGTATAGTTTGTTTTCTATTGCATATCGGATTCGTACAAAAAAAGTGGTTACTGCGAAATGGAAGCGCACTATGCACTTCAAAATCGACGTTGGATTATTCCACTGATTGTTAAGGGCCCATATCATGCGGATGGTTGGCTTGGTTTACTCACCACGAACAAAATCTACATTGATTTTCACAAGTATAAAAGCTTCGACGAGGCTTATAGCATGATCATTCAAGAAGTTAGTCGATATCGAGGTCGGTCAGCCGCAAGTGTACCAGCAGTTCAGAACAGCCACCAGTTGCCAACGTCAGTGCGTATTGTTCCCAGCACACCGTCGACTGCCGTTACGTAAGTGACACTCTTCAATTCTATTTAAGTTTAATATTTTTTATTGTCAACCATAAGGGCTCCTGCTCTACCGGCTCGAACTTTGTCACACGTCCTCACTTTATGGTCCATAGACGATGTGAAATATTTTTTGCAAGTAAAAAATCTTGACGCGATGATACCGTTATGTCCAGAAATGGATGGATCGACACTGTATGGACTATATACAATGTGTCGAACAAACTCTAATTCAATGTATGAGTCGCTGAAGGCGGAACTAGCCCAGTCAGACTCAAAAATATTGCCAATTTCAACCTATCTCAAATTCTTAGAAGAAACAAAAAAATATGTGCCTATTGTTCCTGGTAATGCAAATGCTGCATCGATGATCTGCACTCTTATGTAGTTTTGTATTCCACACAAAAAATCCAATTTTTAACACTTTTAAAAATATACACATGTTTTTTGCAAAAAAACTATATTGCATGCTGGGTGTGGATGTGAATGAGAATAGTCAAGAATACGGTGTGGGTGTGGAAGCCGACATGATAGATATTTCGATATATCTTCCGACTGTGATGATTCATCACCTTTGATTTATCGATTAGTAATAGTTTTAGTAATAAATAAAAGGATTTAATCTCATACACAAAATGACATTAAAGCAACTTTCTTCTCCTCTTATAAAAACATAACCTTATCTAATCATGTTACGCTTGTTGTTGTTATCGGTTGTAATTGTTCTCGTTCGATATGCTTCTGCCAGAACATGTCCATCTCGATCATTCATCAAACAATCACTTATCGATGCTCATATCCCAGGTGCAGCAATTATTGTAGTCAATACTACCGATATTCTCTATCAAGAAGCATTTGGTCATCAATCTTTTTTTCCAATGCAAATGATGGATGTGAACAAATCAGTTTTTGTTCTTGGTTCAATCTCGAAAACATTTATTGCTGTAGCAGTCATGCAACTAGTTGAATTGAATCGACTCGATCTTGATACAGATATCAATCAGTATTTATCATCACCCAATCAACGTATCTCTCATCCACAATATCCTTCTCATGCGATTACTCTTCGTCAACTTCTCTCTCATTCAGCATCCATCGGTATCAATGAAGAAACAGATCTTACTTTTATGCAATATGAAGACGATGCGTTCATGCAAATGTCATTGGCTGATGCTTGTTTTACATACCTAAGTCACAATACATCAAACTGGTTACCTAAACCACCAGGTACTGTAACACTTTACTCAAATGTTGGTGCGTCACTTGCCGGATTAGTTATTGAACGTGTCACACAAATGCCGTATGAATTATATGTCAAGGAAAATATATTGATACCATTAGGTATTAACGTAAAAAAAGTTGGCTTTCGTCTGTCTGATATTGAAGATAAAGAAGAATTAGTTAAACAATATGCATTCAATACGTCATATCTCGAAGCATGGAATCAAGCATTACCACAACTGAATATTACAAAAGTATAAAAAAACAGAATAATTACAAATTGTTTTTTTTTTAATTTAGAATCCTTTGCTTGATTGGCTTTATATTCCATTCTATAGTATGAGTATTTATCCAGCTGGTCTTTTACGAATGTCAGCTCAATCCCTTTCCAAATTTCTTCGAATGTTTATGAACAATGGATCTTCTTTGTTACATCCTCGCTCAATTGCCGAAATGCGAAAAGTAGTGGATGGTGTCGTTCCATATGACAATTCAAATCCACCAATACTTAGTTTTGGCTTGATTTGGAACTGGCGAAAGTTAAGAAATCGCCAGCGATACATTGGTCACGGTGGATCAATGCCTGGCGCAAGACATTCCATGCTGATTAACGAACAAGGGACTATTGGCATAATTGTTCTGACTAATGCAGATGTTTCTCCTCATAATGATATATCAATAAGAACTCGTGGGAAAACAGAAGATATTCAAATGTCACTCTTTAGTTGTTTTGAGAATTGATCAAATCTTATTGATATTCTTCAAAATTTATAAAATAAATGAACGCCTACAATTATTTTCTAATATTTTGTTCTGATAATCAATGTTGGATTCTGTTAAATCTATTTTATTCACATCTCTGACGTAGAGAAAATGAAAATATTATAAGTATGTGCGTCACAGTTAAACAGAGAATTGCATTCGATGCATTCATCTACTTAACAACCACAAACAAAAACTGTACATTTGCATCATGCTTAGAAAAAACTGTTGCATTTTTATTATTAAAATAATAAGTAGAAAAATATTTCAAAAAAAAAAAAGATTTTTTTTATTGTTGTTAGTAACTGAATTTTTCTCTCGCTAAACAGCTCTACGTATTAAGTAATATTGTTTCTTTTCTACTGATGCCGTCTACAATTTTAAGTGATTTATGACGTGTGTTCACTACGACTCGTTCGTTTTCTTATATTTCTTTTTACTCTCCTCTGCGCTCTTGAGAATAGAGAAAAAAAAATATTCATCAATATATATAAACGTCAGAAAAATAACTGTCGTTATTAGACAAAATCGAGAATCGTAGTCTGTTCATTTTTTACTCTCAATAAAAAACAATATTAGTGATCATGGGTTGTTCTGAGTCAAAGGTACTGGATAGTGTGGAATCAACTGCAACTGGTGGAAGCTCTTCAGGTTCATCTCTCAAGGAGAAATTAACAGAAAATTTACTCAATACTGATACAGTCAAGACAATGAGCAAAAACGCATTTGCAAGGTAAGTCATATCTCTTTTTTGTTGATATATTATTAGAAATTATTCTTATGAATATATTTTTTAGCGTTCTCAATAAATATCCAGAATCAAAAAAGATCTTTAAAGTACCCGAAACTACACCGACTGATACGCCATTGGCTGATACAAAAGAAGTGCAAGCGGCTAGTGATAAGCTTTTAAGTCACTATATGGATATTGTTAAAACTTCAGATAGTAATCTTGAGTCAACAGTACAGAAAAAAGCAACTGATCTCAGTAAACTTGGCGTTAAAGCCGAATATATTAAGGTAACTACATACTTCTTCTTTTCATATTTCTGCAACAACTAAAATCAAAAAAAATAAATTTTCTTTTCATAGACTTATGGTGACAATCTTGCAACAAATACGACAAAAGATACAACCACCAAATTGAGCTCAACTGAAGAAAAAATTTGGAAATCCGTCATTAGTGAGATTACAAGTAAACTCACTGCTGCAATGGCCAAACTACCTAGTTCATCTTCATAATCGTCATGAAAAAAACACATATATCATATTCTTGCTAAAAATGAAACATAACATAGAAAATTTTTTTATAATCTTGACGAATTTCGTATAAATATAATAAAATAAAATCATTGCTATTTACTTATGTTAATTATTAAAGATGTAAAGGATGTGTGTATTCTCAACAAGGCACACTTCGAACATGACATAATTTAAATGAGCGGTAATAGGAATATATTAGTCCCTATTTTTTTATGTATTTTGAAATTAATAATCTTACAATAAAGTTATGTGGATTTTTCATCGTGTTCTGTTCTTCCTCGTGTTTTATTTTATTTTATAAAATAAACATCTTACTCTTTAACTGTCGTTTACTCACCTACTACTGTCGCATTTTCATACAGTGGCAACGCAATCTTATTCTTTTATCAAACGAATAAACAATAACTGTGAATAGGTGAAAAGGAAAAAATCAATAGTAACAAATAATAAAATTTAAAATAAAAAGTTGTAGATGAATCACATGACACTGAAGACTTTATCAGAAGGTGACTCTTTTATAAATCATCGTTGCTTCTTGTTTTTAATTTTTTATGATTCTATCAACACACACCCACACCCACACCCACATTTGGATTGTTTACTTCGCCGAAGCGAGGACGATTTAGATCCACTTCAGTTAATTTTTCAGATATATCATGATCGTTCAAATGAAAAGATACAGCAAACGAAAAGCTGATCAACACGAGTAGTGTAAACCAAGAATGCATGTTATATGTAATTTTTTTATTGACTTGTGAAGAAGACGAAGTATGTTTTATCATTCCTTTAACAAACTATTATTTCGCTAGGTGTGCATATAAATGATAAAAAATTTCATGAGTGAGAGTATGCAGATAAGATGAGGTATACTCATATTTCACTATAACGAAAGTAACATGAAATTTAATACGAAGCACATGTTTAAATATAGATTTATTTAAATGGTATTAGTAGCAATGAAAATGAAATATTTTTGAGGGCGTGGGTGTGACGGAAGAGCACACATCCTCGCCCTAAATACATTATTAATATTCGTTCTTGATTGTAATTTTATTACTAATGAAGGTGCTCAACATTTATCCAATGCTTTACAGATCAATCAGGTAAATTTCCCTTTTCGTCAATCATTTTATGTTTTTATGAATTCTTCTTAAAGATACTCTTGAGATTAAGTTTTGCAGACAATCAAATTAGTTTTCAAGGAAAAGAAAATCAAGTAAAAATTCATTTTTTTTTATTTTAGCTGGTATGTCACTAACTTCAATAAAAACATTATATCTGTCATACAATTTAAGATAATCACTCAATTAATTTTATCAAAAAAAGCCGAAAATACTTGTCGTTATTATCATGTTTCTAGTCCACTACTTTTGCGGGCGATGAAGACTAGGTCGTCTTTCTTTTAAAGAAGTAATTAGACTGATTATCATAGACAGTCTAGTCCCCTATTGTTCTCTCTGCTATTCAGATATATATATATACGACAATCTGTTTATGTCTGAATTAAATTACAAGTATTATTGTTTGTTAATATCGAGTTTAGTCCCGTACAATGGAAATGAGTGAGAATTATTTAATACTTCAACAAGGTAAGGATAAATGAGAATATTTATAAAAGTGCATATTTTTTGTTTTGTTCATTATTAAGCAATTCAACGTGATTCATGGGTTATAGAAGTGTTAACACAAGAACAAATACTCATATTTGAAGAAGGTAAAATATTTTTAAAAGTCTGAATTCTTAACAATTTGCTATTTAGTTTTTAAACAGCACAAAAATCCTGGATGGGATATTATATACAGTATTGCGACGTCTTTGAATATATCGCCTACATATGTTCGAGTAAGAAAATATTCTGTTTTTTATATTATTGTTCAATATTCATCTTTAGACATGGTTTAGATATCGTTTTTTCTGTCAAATGACTCTCAATCATCGTCTACATTGCTTCTCTCGTGTTGGAGCTTGAACAACGAAAAATAACTATTAAAAAAAAATTTATCAGTTGTAAAAATAGATTGTTTTCTGTATAAATAAAACATGTATATAATCTATATCAACAGTTAGGAATATGATATTTAGAAGTACAAGAAAAATCGTTTATTTTGATTAATTCGGAAAAATTCTTTTGCAAACGTGAGCTTAGGGATACGGATCTTGTCATGACTAAACGAGAAGTATTATGGTATAGTTGGATAGAAGTAGTTTAATGAAAATATAGCATTGACGACTACTACTACTTGTACTGGTAGTTTTAGTTCATCTGTTATTACAACTACGTGTTCACTTTATTGCGATGATGATATAGTTATTATTGTAGTCCAACATCTACTTATCCCAGTATAGACCAATACGGTTTTGCTGATTAAAGTTCATTTATTGCTATATAAACGACAGTCTTAATCTCGCTTTTTTTTTTTATAAAAAAATCTTCATATATCTCCTCAATTTTTTGTTCCATTGTGTTAAGAAGGCTAGGGCGATATGGTTTCCATCCTAATTTTCGTAGTCATTGTGCTGTAGCCTTCGATTTTGTAGCAAATAAGTCAGGAAAAAGCTGATTTGTTTCATTATCAGAAATATTTTTGATAATTGTATGAGCCCTTTCTTATGTAAAATTTCAATAGTTTTTGTCCAACATTTTTGTCAAGAATTTCTTCCATTTTCAACAAAAGGATATCCTTCAGGTTCTGTTGTTAAATACGAATCAGATTTCACATCAGATTTACAAGCAACAAGAAGTTCATTGAAAAGAATAAGATACGCATCAACTAAATCATCAATATGAATATTATCCTATGTTGCTTCACCTGATCCAATCAATTCAAGTGTCGATGTTGTTAAGTAATAACAACTAATTTTATAAATATAATACTTTGACGTTTAAATCAACATTTCGATGAATATCTATTAAGAATTTATTTTTTGAAAACGAAAATGATTCGGAAGAAATTCAATGAGAATAAAATATTTTTTTTCAAGATTATGATAATAGTTCGAAAGTTGCTGCGATCATCAAATGATCGGAAGGATGTGTTTGATCTGGGTAAGATTCACTTGTAGGATGATCTGGCAGCTCTAATATATCTTTCACTGCAAGACGACCATTAAAAAAAATATAATCAAGTGTTTCACAAAAGTTTGGTGAGTGTGGTGTATGTGAAAAATCTGTATAAATAGGTTCAACTCCATTCTTTTCTCGATAGGCACTCTTCAATACTTGGCCAGCATTTCGTTGATATGAAATTTCATAAATATCAGATTTTGGTAAAATACAATCGGCATAATCTTTTTCGGTTAAAGCACGATAACAAATATCGCATGGTTTCAGATTGAAATCGCCAGCAAGAATAAAATCTTTTCCAGTTGACAATTCAAACATTAAATCTTTTACTATCGAAGAATGAATAGCCATCACATCAGGTTCTTTGTAACGACAAGGCATATGATAACAGCCAACACACAATACTTTACCATCGATTACAACTTGTAAAAAAATCAGTGTATTGCGTCTAGTCATAGCAATTTCCCAAGGATCCGATATAGGTTGTATGAATTTACTTATAGCAGACTGATATATATTCCATCCCCATGTAAACAGATTTGTTTCTTTGTTGTGCAACTTACTAAATGATCTTATATGATCACCAATTTTGATAATAGAAATAGAGTTGAGTTGCATCGAAATAGGAATTGCTATACCTATACCCATATAATCTTTGCATTGTTCTTCGTATAAATTTTGAAAGAATGTATAATTTAATCGACGAAAAAATAATTCAAGTTTAGGTAAAATAGGAAGAGATAGTTCTTGTATGCAAATAATCGTATTTTTATGCTGAACAATTTCTTGTTCTAATTGAGATTGAATTAAGTTCCAGCGATGTTCAGTTTGAAGAAATTCAGGTTGACATTTGGTGTAATGATCAGGTCGATTAGCCAAAATAGGTACTAAAATATTGTATGACACAATGCGAACGGCCATCGTAGTAGTTTAAAAAATATGTGTGTATTGCAAAATGAATAAAGAAAAAAATATGGTATGAAAGAATGGGTATTATATAGTAGCAAGAGAAACAGAATGTATGCATGATTTAATGACGAAAAATAAAGAATGACGCTCGGTGAAAAGACGTGTGATCAGCGAACGCAATAAAGTTGTGCAAGAATATTGTCGACGAAAATAACGAAGAGAAAAGAATAAAGTATAAGAAAAAATAAAACGATATGTTCTTAATGAGTCAAGATTTGATTCAGTTAGTCAGTGAAATAAATAAATGCGCTATGATTCTTATCTCTATGAGGATTGATATAAAACGAACGCAATAAAAATAATAATGGTACTAATATTATTCACAGAAAAAAAGAATACCAATTATGATTAGTATATAATCTACTTGATGTTTGATAGAAGCATATTAACGTGTATAATACGTGCTGCAGAAATATCAGGATATTATTCATTAAAATTACTATACTACTCATGTTTATTTTAAATGAATTGTTTTCATACAGAAAAAATTAAAAATAAAATTAAAAAAACATTTTTGTCTCATAGAAATGTCAAAATCAAATGTTTTTTTTATCAATAGTAATAGATGACAGCCAGTAGGAAGAGAGTAATCTTCCAGATTTCGTTTGTAAAATATTTCACAGCACTATTTTGTGGTTTTGGTGTGATTTCACTGTTAGATGTACTTGTTGTAAGTTCACTATTTTCAATATCGATTGTTACTAATTCAATATATTCGTCTAATATTTGAATATTCATTTCATATTTTTCATGCATTTGTCCCATGGTAGCATCGTTCGTAATTAAAACATCAAACATACATTGTTGTTCATGAGTCATATTACGACAAATTTCTTCTGCCATATGGTATCGATCGGTATTCGCATATTTTTGAAAAAGATCTTGTTTAAACATAGGACGATAGTTTAAATCTTGATGTTCAGCATGACTATCCTGAAAACGATAATAGAAAAGTGATGAATCACTTGTCCTACGCCATGATTCACCGTAAGTAAATAATGCTTGATCATCATTTAAACTAGTTGATACATTTGTTCCAGTCGCGTATGCAAGACCATCGAAACCACCAAGCATACCTTGAAATTTTTTCTTATCTTTGAATGTACTTGGTATAATAGAAACGAAATCAAGAAAATCAAATTGAGGTCGAAGATATACAATAAATTGAAGTCCACTTTCACCATAAGAAATACTGTAACTATTTGCATCTCTTTGTCGAAGAATCAATTGATGATCATCAGAATAGATCAATGAAGAAGATAATAATTCATCTGGCTCTGAAAGTGGTGTAAATTCTAATAGTTTGCCGTCAACTCGCATTTCTAGTTGTCGTAATTTTGGAAAGAGTTCAAATTGCACACGTGGTTGATCTTCATTTTGAATAACGAATGCAGAAATCACTGTTCCACTCTCTGTCGTCGATGTCGAAGTAGAACTTCCTGATGCATTGACTAACTGAGCGAGTCGTACTTGAATTTCAAATTTTCTATCAAGTGATCGGAGTAAACTTGAGGGTGTGGGTGTAGGTATAGTGATGCATTGTAATTCACTACCCACACCCACACCCACACCCTCAATCGGTGAATGTTGATTTAGATAAATAATGGACCTCCACATTTTCATCCACACCGACACTCACCTTCAAGATGATACTGCAGAATGATAACATCACTAATGGTAGAATTTTGTTTATAGATTAAATGGTTCTTAATTATACTTTGAAGGAAAACTTCAACGATTGAAATGCCTTGGTATTATTTAGATTAACTCTGAAAAATATTTTTATAAGAACGAACTGTAAAGTTCTTATATTTTATTTTTAAAAGAAATTCAGTGAAAAACCTAATAGAACTTTTAAGAAGTACGATAATATTCTATGATTTCCAAATTTTGTAGCCTTTGAAATTATTCAATAGATGTTTAAATTAATAATAGATTTCACAAATTCTTAAGACAATGTTTTTATGCAGAAGTTAGAATTGTTTTCGTTTGATTTATTAAATAGATTTATTCGAGGGTTTTATGATTAAAATAATTTGAAATAAAATATACTGACACTATTTATACATATATATATATATATATATATTCGTGTCATTTGTTTCACACTCAATAAAAAAGAAGATTAATGAAAAAAAAAAGTATTTTGATATTCAATAATAAGTAGTAAAAAAAATAAATCAAGAGTTCTCATTTGAATTTAATTGTCTTATAATCTTTGAGGAAGCGTTGATTTTATAACATACATATATATGTTAAAATTAATAAGGTAATTATAATTTGAATATTGTTTAATTTAAAAAATGTTGCACAACTAGACATCGTACCAGCCCAATCGCTTAATTTGCTAACACAACCAACATCAACAACACTAGGACGATATGTTGCAATACTAGTCAATGGTACTGTAGCGTCATGTATAAGATACCAATATGTAGCACCCATTTTAGCACCTATAACTGTATCAAGTTTGTCTAAACCTATATAATGACCAGTTGCATTATCAATATACACTATAACAGGAAAAACGCCAGCTGCATCAATTGCGTTTCCAATCCAAGCTTGTACAGCTACAGGTTTCATAGAAGCAATACCCCATTTCTTTGTAATAATCCATACACCAGCATAATCTAAGAATCGTGAATTGTAATTATAAGCTTCACATTGATAGTTACATGAAGGCATCCATGCACATGCGTTTGTGTCATATTGATATATAAAAAATCCACTAGCATTAAAGTAATAATAAGCCGTACCATAAGAAAGAATAATTAATTTTCTAATATCATCCGCAATCCACACAGAATCCGTCACAAGACTGTTCGCTTGAATACCAAAAATACCATATCCAGTATTACTGGGTAATGGATTCGGTAATATATACGTATTAGTACTTGCAAAAGGACATTGAGTACTGGTATTACTTTTACAGATTTTGAGATATCCAGTAGATTGCATTGCAATTCCACTACTAAATATATGTCGAGCTTTACCAAATGGAGGTTGATTATTAGTTAAATTGCTTAGAGAAGGAAAAGGAGTTCCAGAAAGTATAACATCAATTGCATATATTTTTTGATCTATAGTATTAACATACAATATTACTAATTGTGTATCTATTTGAACTGTACATCCAGGACCGACACCATTATAACCTGTGGGTGGACAATAATAATCTAAATCATAATTATCAATTGTACCTAAAACAGTTAATGCACCAATATAAACATAATATGTTTGATTTGTATCAGGATTAATATATGTGGTATAATTAGCAGTAAAATTTGATATCTGTTGCCAATCAAAGATAAAACAATTACTAGTAAGATTATTATTTGTTGTACTATTTATTGTAGTTTCAACACAAGATGATGGAATTCTTTGTAAATAAAAAAGACCATTACATATAACTGAAAAAAACAGACAAATTGAAATCGATTAATTAATGAATAAAAATAGAAATCTTTTTTTTTTATCTTATATAAATGAAACAACTAAACTCACCTGAATCAATAATAAGAAAACCCAGAAATATCAATACAATACTGACATTAACCAGTATATACATTTTTTTTATAATATTGTACGAAAAAATTGTTTCGAACGCTATTATATTCTTATGAATAATGTCTTTCTCCTATAATTATAAAGGAAGAAAAAGTAAGAACCATATCTTTACAGTATAAGAAATTTTTTTCTTTCACTAATGACTTATTTTTTTACGTATTAATAAAAAAGAGGTGGGTTACCATTTTTTTCTCATGATTTAATATTTTTTTCACCTGTATGGCAAGAACATATTCATTCCAACGTGACTCTGAAATATTTCTTGCATCAATAATATTCAACAAAATATACGCATATTTCTTTTTTTTACTGTTGTCCTTGAAAAAAATAGGATAAAATATAAAACATAAATCGTTTAATTAATTGATGGTAAACTACTGTTTTGTGTCCTTCTTTCTATTAATAGATTAGGCGATTATACGCTTTTCAATTTATCCTTTACTGTTAACTTAAGAATCGACTGTTATATATTTCAGTCAATCAATATTTTATTTAAAAGAAATCTAATTATGACATCATTCTACATGAACGAAATCTATTATAAAAATAAGAATAAATTAATAGGGTAAACAATTTTTCAAATACATAATAGAAAAGAATTGAATAATAATCTAAAATAACTAATTGCGATTTTTTTAACTAATGTATGAAATAAATAACATTGAAATTATCGCGATAAATTAATTCGCTTGACAAATAAAATGTAAATAGCTTAAAAATTTTTTTTTCAATTTCTTTTATGTTTATTCAATGATTATATACACCCATGTCCTCAAAATCACTGAAAATCTGACGATTAATCGTGATTATCAAGGTTATTTCTATATAATTTTATGAAAAAACGCTCGAAAAACAAAAAAAATGTTCTCGCGTAGACCTCGATGTGTTGCAGCAAAAAATGAAAGTAGAACTGTATATCCTGATTGAAATAATGAATTTTATATTACTTGAAAATTGATAGAATTATTTAGAGTAAAACAATACTAAAAAAAAAAGGGTGGGGATGTGGATGTAAGTGCACACTTATTGTTTTAATCATCTATCTACGCTCTCATTCACACAGACATCTTTATGACAAAATATACGTTACTAAGTCTCACCTGTCTTATAAACAAATATTCAAATACTTTCTCTTCTACCAATGATATTTTTTGTCTTTTTTCGCTCTTCTTACATCTTGCTGATAAATACCGGTAAGACCACGTGCGGCGTAGGTTTTATCATAAAAACCACCATGGATGCACCAGCTTGAAGTAAGAGATGGCAACTGTTCCCCGTGAGAAATTTTTAGAAGCTAAATTTTGAATAACTTTAATCTTTTCTCTCATCTTATTCAATACATGTTTGTATTTTAAGAAAAATAACTTCGTATCAGATAATATGAATGAATTTAATTTATCGTCAACAACATTAGATGAGATACAAAATCATGATGATTTTAGAGTGGTTTGGTGTTCTGCGGACAATCATATTTCCAGTGAATTAACATATTTTGCTCATTATCTTGAGAAATGTGATTCAATCGATACGTGTAAAAATTATATCAGAGAAATCAAAAGTGAACGTAAAATTCTTCTTGTTTTAATTAATTTGTTTAAACACATTACCGATTTCGATGGTTTATCTCAAATTCAATCGATTTATATTTTAGAAAAAGATCGTCAAAATATTCACTATGATAAAGAAAACTTTTCTAAATCAATTCATGTTTTTATGAACGAACGTTTATTGATCGATCGATTACGTTATGATATTCTATTAACATATCGAAATGATTTACCTATCAATGTTTCATATTTAGATGAAATTAAACACGAACAATCTTTTATAAATTCAGATACACACACATATCTGTTTTTATGGAATCAATTATTTTTCTATCTTCTTGTCAATACCGATGATTTAGATATGAATAAATTAAAAACAGATATGATTCAACAATGTCAATTAGAATATAATGATAATACTACTCAATTAAATCGTATTAAAGAATTCAATGATGACTGTACAGAAGATAATGTGTTGGAATGGTACACAAAAGATACATTCGCTTACCGATTATTAAATAAAGCATTTCGCAAACGAGATATTGATTTAATTTGTAAATTTCGATATTTTATAATACTTCTACATAGAAAATTAAAAGAATTATCAATAAAACAACAAGGAGAAAATCTTACAACTGTTTATCGAGGACAAGTGCTAGGTGTCAATGAGTTAGAGAGTTTAAAATCCAATGTTGGTCGTCTTATTTCAATTAATACATTTATATCAACAACACGTTATGAAGAGATTGCTCGCAGTTTTATTATTGGTGCGGAACTTGGAGTTCTATTCCATATTAACATTACACGTACTAGTTACAATATTCTTCATCCATTTGCGAATATTTCAGAATTCAGTGCGATGCCAAGTGAAGAAGAAATATTATTTTCTGCTGGTGGAGTTTTTCGTATTGATTCCGTCGAGAAAGAAAATGATTCGATGTGGATTGTTAACCTTACTCTAAATAACAAAACAGTCGAACAAATGGAACGATTTATGGATGGTGTGAAAGAACAAATGAATTATGTAACAAGTTGGGATCATTTATTCATGAAGATCAGTGATTTACTTCTTTTTGGAAAATGCCACAAAATATTAACAAACAAATCGTTTTCCTGGAAGGATATAATCACAACTGCAATCAATATTGATATTTATAATCTTCTCACTGTTTTAGGTGATTATAAAAATGCAATAGAATATTACAAACAACTTTTATTAGAAGAACATGTTTTTGATGATTCGCAACGTATTATCACAAATATAATTATTGGAAATAATTATTTTCATTTGAAAGAATATGATAATGCTGAAGTTTATTATAGTGTTGCACTTTCATTATTGGATAATAATAATAATCCATTAGTTGGTGAAATTTACAATCTTAGAGGTGATATATACATAGAATTGAATGATCTTCAAATGGCACTAACTTGTTACAATGATGCTTTGAAAATCTTTACAAATCAGGAGATGAACACTCGTTATGTGGCTAGAGTATGTCGAAAAATATCTGATATTTACCGAAGACAGAATAATCATGCAGATGCTTCGTTTTATGCAACCCAAGCTGATGAAATTGATCAACAACTTCGACAAAGATCAGAGTTAGATATTGAAACATCATTGGAATATTTTCGAAATCAATTAACTACTACATCTGATCATTCACAGTATCAGCGTGCTGATCTATTGTATTCAATTGGTATATGTCTTTTAAGGAATAACAAATATCGTGAATCTTTAGAAATCTTTTTAGAAGCAGCAAGATTGTTTAAAACTCATTTACCAACATCTGATAATTTTAATCAGAAATTTTGTACACTTTATGATAGTATGGCATTAATTCACTTCATGTCAAAAGATTATTTCAAGGCATTGATCATGTTAAAAAAATCCATTGACATACGTATAAGTTCTTATCCTAACTAATGTTTCGTCTCGTTCTAAATTTTTATTTTATTGCAATATAATATTTCACACTCAGAACATCTTGAGGGTGTGGGCGTATGTCTTTTATTTTCTCACTCATTCTATATCTACACTTATATACTCAAGGGTATTTCATTCATTTGCATCTCTCATTTAATCACGAAACTAGTTCTCCTATATCAACATCCGAAGATTCAACATTTCTTTCAGAATATTTAATCTAATTTTTTCACTTCAATGGAAATAGATGAGATGCAATCAATTCACTACTGACTAGGACACTATTTCTATTGATTTATGCAATTTGTATAAGTTTTGCAATTAGTTAGAGTCATCTGTGGTTCAATAATTGTCATAAACTTTATTTGAAAAAAAAGAAACTTGTTGTTTTTTCTAAAAAACTCTAACACGAAAAAAATAATCTATTAATTAATGTGCGTTGTTCAATTGGGATTTTCTATGATTTGCATATTTGTAGGACAACATTCGCTCTTCATAGTGAAGATGTGGATTAGTTGATCTTCCTATATTTCTACTATTGGCAATCAAATCTTCTGCTTTGACTGATTTTTGGCTCGAATGTGTATAAAGTTGACGAACTTTATCCGATGATTCTATGACGACATGAGTACCATAATCTACACCTCAGTTGACATCTTTCACCATGCCACTGGACATACATAATCGTCTCAGGTGTGATAACCAGCAGCCCGATTATTAGCTTTGCCGAGTGGAGTAGTAAATTTTTTGCTTTCTTTTCATTTTCTGTTAAGGTATATGCTGATGGTGCATGTATTTACATTCGATCTTTCCTTTTTTATTTTGAAAGTGAATGGATGCGTATGAATATTTTACTGATCTTACACAGTCGCATACCCTCAAGTTTCATGACAAAAATCGAATACGTATCAAAATTAAAAACCAAAGCCAATGAAATTTTGTGATAACAATGTTGAAACACAGATGCGTCACCAGAACACTTCAAAGAGTTGACAGAAAAAATGAAGATTGACGTAGTAACGGTGCATCGATTGCTTGCGCTGTCGACGCCATAATTTCATTGACGTCAGAATTATTTTTTTTCTACTCTTGTTCTCAAATTACAATTTATTTGAGTAGAATATTTTTTGCCGATGGATATGCTTGTTATATTTATAATTTCATCGATTGTTTTAAATACCTGTCCAGCGAGAAAGTATTCCAGCGCTAGCACCGAAGCATCGAGTATACTACTAGCAGTGATTCTGGTACCCACGCTTATTGGCAGTTGTGTTATTACCATAGTAATCGTATGTTGCTGCTATAAAAAAGCGCCGTGGTGTCGACCACAAGGAAGAGATGTTATGCTTATAGTGGCACAGCAGGTTTTAGCGCAACAACAAAATCCATATGCACCTCCAGGTTTTTCTCAAACAACATTTTATGATCAACCACCACCTTACAGTCAAATAGCACCTTACAAAAAGTCAACACTGCATTCAGAATCTATACAGACATCATAAAATGCATTTTTATCTAAGCACGTTTGTAATCATTATTGACGACAGCTCTCATGTGGATGTACGTCATGGATCCAAGACAGCCACACCCACACCCACATCTTCAAATTTGAAATGAATTTTATTTTTATGGAACAAATGCGAAGAATAAAGATAATGGTGAATAAAAATAGGAATAAGAAAATACAAGCAATGTTCACTTGCACTTATAAAATTTTATTCTTTCCTCTGTAAGTTCAATGGATTGACATCGTCCAATTCTTTCAAATCATTTCACACTCGTTTGGCTGCTTCACGAATAGAATTCATTGCCTTCGACCATTCACCATCGAATATGGGTACCAATTTCTCGTCATAAGCATTAGTATATATGTTATTCGAATCTTTGCTATTGAAAATCTTCTCGACGAAATCTGGATAATTGTTTTCTAACCATGGCTTTAAACTCGAACGATATCTTGAGAGAATTATATCGCTACCATAAAACGCACGAATGATTGACGATTCATTATCAGATGCTGAGTATCGTGTTTCATCATGGTAAAAAAATGGATTGAGTCGAAATGGATGGCGTGTAATGATTTCACGTACTTTTTCGTCATTAATTATTTCAATGTTCCTGTTACTAATAAAATGCCAATGCAAACCGATATCGTCAGTGACACACGGGTCAAAACTATATCGGAGCTGTTGACCTTTTTGAGGCCAAATAAAGTAAAGTGAACCACCGTTTTCGAATTCCAAATGTTTATACCAACTATGAAGGGTAGAAAAACGAAGTATATCAGCATCAAGCCCCTTTCGACTGTATTGAGTCCATCGTTTCACTAGTGACCGAAAACGAAAATTACACTCAAAAAAGGCTTGGTATCGATCAACTGGTGAGAGAAAATCAAAAATGTATATAATAATCTCCGATGAAAGATCGCTAAACGTTGTAATATGCATTGATATTGTCATACAAATAAAATTCTTTCTATAACGACATATATAAAATTTAATAAAAGAATGCATGAAAAAAAACAACTATGACTCATTTACCATTTCTTTTCTTTTACATAAACGGAGAAAAACGCATAATATTTTTGCGTTCTATGTAATAAATCGAGCAACGTGGAAACTATTTGTTGTATGACTCCTTTTTTATACAAAAATTATTTATTATTTCATCAATCTTGTGCAATCTTTCGTTCTTCCTTGAAGACACATAACACATTGTATCGAAACAACGGCGTCATACAGAATGAGACAGGCCTTTGTATACAATTTTACACATTTCAGTGATGATGATGCAATTTAAGCTCGCATTGTTGTTTTTGTTTCATCTGCACTTATTATCTTGATGTAAGTGTGGGTGAGATGATGATAATACTTTCGCTCAAACCCACATTTTTCATGAAACTTAATTTAAAAGAATAATAATCCTATACTTGATACAAAACTTGAAGAATATTTGTGAATTATATTTGATATTTCTGAGAAAATTTGTATCATTTTATAATGTCAGTAATTATATTTTATTATTTGAATAGAATTTTATAATTGATTAAATCTCTACAAAATAGATATTCTTCATTGTCATCCATATTAATTATTGCGACATGTATCACTAGTACCTAGACGATTACTAACACATGCATCACAATTTTTAACGAAGACTATATCACCAGTTTGTCCATCTTTGCATAAGAAAAGCTTATTGAAATGATCTTTATTTGGTTGACCTACAGTTGCTTCTGCAATTTTAGAACCATATGGACCCATATTCATCAATTTGTAACCACAATAATTTAAACCTTGATGACAATTTTCTCCATGAATCATCAATGTTTTTAAAAGAAGTAATAATATGATGTTAATAATCAGTACTTTCATTGTTTGATATGTTCTTATATTCTAGAAAATAGCATTAAAATATTTACTATAGTTGATAAAAGAAACTGTTTTAATCGTATAAAAAAAAATACTATATGACTCAATAATATATTTTTCGAAAGCGCGCACATCTTGAGGTTGATTGGATTATTCATGTAACATTTTACTCCAAGCTACGTAGTTATACTTAATGATATAGAATTCATCTCTAGCTGTTTCTAAACTATCTCATTCATCAATAGGTAGAATTTGATAAACTCTATATAATCAAATATCAAATAATTCAGTGATCTTCTTCTCATATAAGTGATAATATATAAAAGGATACTCTTATGTTCCATATTAGTATTACTTAGTTCAACAAGTAACAATAAACAGTTTAACCAGAAAAAGACTAGTACTTTCATCAACTATGTCACTTACCGATAAAATATGTAAAAAAAACTGACGTTATATATCAACGTTAAAAACATGCATATTTATAGTCTAGGAACTAGACATTGTCAAGAACATTATCATAAGGTTAATAGTATGTGAAGAAGAAAATATCATGCTCTGACATTTATCAAAAGAATTATTTATGATCTGTAACAATTCAATTATCCATAAAATATTTATTACTAGGAAAGCATAGGATTGTAATGGCACTTGACATATACTTAAGTACACGGAATATTATAAATCATAAATAATTCTTTTGATAAATGTCAGCGCCTGATATTTTTCTTTCACATTCTATTAACCTTATGATAATGTTCTTGACAATGTCTAGTTCCTAGACTATAAATATGTGCATTTTTAACGTTGATGTGTACGTCAGTTCTTTACATACTTCAACGGTAAGTGACTTACGAGTTAGTTTTTATGAAAGTACCAATCTTATTGTGGTTCGACTATTTAGATGTTTTATTGGGCACTGACAATCACACTGTTGGTTCTTCAAATTTGGCATATTGATACACAAAGTCTGTTCACTTTATATGATTATATATTAAGAAAAGATTTTTGTTTATTAGCTTTAACTACGAAATATTCGTCATCATGTTCCATGCCACTTTGTAATCAATATTTGGATACTAATAGAGACAGTTGTCCAACTTCATGGCTCTGTTATAGCTTTCAAACATGGAATAATTCATCACTGTGTGCTCCTCAAGTGCTCTGCTCAACACTTGAACCATGTATCAATGATAAAAAATGTCAAGTAAGTAGCTCGGTATGCGTCGTAAACAGTTGTTGTTCAACGCCAGTCTGTATGCCATTAGCATTGAGTAATTTATGTACAGTAACAGCAAATATTGCAGGTAAATTATTTTCACATAGTCAATATTTTTCCTATAAATTACTGATATTTTAATATTACTTAAGTTGGTCGTATTTGTTCATCGGCCACTTGGCAACAAAACTCAACAACATATTTCCAGGATGTATGGCACAATTATCTCCATAGCCATGATTTTTTTCTTGACTCAGACAATAATATTATTATGAGTGAATATTGTGACAATCGTATTGTCAAATATTCAGGAAAAAATAATACTATTGCTACTCTTCTTGCCAATGGAAATTCAACATATTATATGGAAGCAATGTTTGTACATCCTTCAGGAATAATATATACAGTAGAAAGTCGAGTAAGAAATTTCATTGAAATAAGAATTTGAATAATTCATTTTTATTTCTATATTTTATATATTGCTCATCTAAAAATATTTTTTTTGTTAGTACAATTATTCTTCATATGAGAGATTATATCGCTTTCAACGATACACAAATGTTGATGGTCTCGCAGGAACTACTCTATTTGGAGATACAAGCTGTGGAACAGCAGCAAATCAAATATGTGGTTGTAAGAGTCTTTTCGTTGATACTCAAGGTGGAATCTACTGTAGTGATAGTCAAAATCATCGTATTGTCAAAATTATTCCTTATACATCAACAATAATTATCATTGCCGGCGCAACGAATGGCTCAATGGGATATGGAACGAATGAACTTTACTATCCTTCATCGATATTTGTTGATCAATCAGGAAACTTAATAGTTCTAGATTCTGGAAATAGGTATGTGTCACTTATATTTATTTTTTAAATATCATTCATTTACTTCTGTTTTTAGCCGTCTTCTTAAGTTTTCACCAGGAAATCGCAATGGAACAATCTTATTCTCTCCATATTCATATTCTTGGGGATCATATATGTATGTTGATGCGTTCGGTATCGTTTATTACACATCATACAGTGGGATATACAGATGGGTACCAGGCGCAACATATCCAACGATGATTATTGGTGGATCATCATTTTCAACACTTCGTTTTGATGTATATGGAAACTTATATACAATCGATAATTCAAAAAATACCATTGAAAAGTATAACATTTTTACAAATAATTGTTAGAATGTAATATCCATCATATAATATTCCTATTAGTTTCATAGAAGAAACATTTCCTTTCAATTGTAGCTACATTTTCATATGTAATACATAAAATAAATATTCTTTATTAAGCTATTCATATGCAAACTCAAGTGTTAAACTATCTTGTGGGTATGAGTGGATGTATAGTAAATACAATGATCATAAAAATATCTGTCTTTCAGTTCGTGTAAAAGCTAAATAATGGAGAAAATATGAACTCGTCATGAATTATAATCTTTTAAAATTTATAATTGGAGCACTCGAGTATTAAATATCAAGATTTATCTTTTCGCTACCTACTCTCATTTTGTGGCATTCTTGTGCCTAAAACTTTTCCCCTTTGTTATTATAATATCCTTTTGTAATTGAATTGATTGAGTGAGCAGAAGAATATTTTGCTTATTCACTAACTAATTTTATTTTTTAAGCCTTAGCTATTTATATCCATGTTATCCAGACATGCATACACACAAGCCAGAATAAGGAGAAGAAAGAGGATGACCGAAATGAATACTTCTTACTTCTTGTCAAAGCAGAGAAAAATAAAGAAGATGATGTAATACACCTTCTTTTTAATTGTGCAAGAAGTAAACAAAAATGTAGAATAAAATAAGAAAAAGAAAGATATGGATGAACAATATGATGGTCATGTGGGAAATAGAGGTGAGAGAAAAAGATCAAAAATGTTAATTTAACAACAGCAAACCTTGGCACATGATCTTTTGACAGTGACTGTTTTCTTTCGGATGACTTTGCAACATGGTTTGCAGCAGCACACAGTTTTAGTTACACAACATTTTGGACCGCAGCAGCAACAATCACAGCAGCAGGGATCACAGCATGAACTACAGCATGAACCGCAACCACAACCGCAGCCGTAGCCACAGCCACAACCACAACCACAGCCTGGCATATTAATAGTAATAATGTAGTGAAGAGTAAAACTAGAGTAAGATGATAATTGATTTGTGAAACTATGAGAATAGATGTGGGTATATATATAGAGGTACAGAAACGAGCAAAATTGTTTTCAGTCAACAAAAACAACAATTCACCACTGTCTTCACATGACAATATTTAATACGTACATGTCATAGAAAAATACACGAAGAGATATAAGTAACTCTTTGTTACTATTCATGTAATACAACAAAAATATGAAGTTCACACTTGTTACCAATGTTTTTCCTTTGATTTGTTTTGACAGTATATCGAAAACATCTAAATTTAATTTCACATTCACCTTGTGACCACAACTCT